GAAAGGCAGACTCCCTGCTGAGCAGGAAGCCAGATGTGGGCACCTTGGTGTGTCAGTCCCAAACCCCAAGATCATGACCTGAGCTGAAGGCAGGTGTTTAACTGAGACTGAGCCACCCAGATACCTCTTGGCTTTTGGTTTATTTATTTATTTATTTTTAAAACATTTTTATTTATTTATTCATGAGAGACAGAGAAAGAGAGAAGCAGAGACACAGGCAGAGGGAGAAGCAGGCTCCATGCTGGGAGCCTGACGTGGGACTCGATCCCGGGACTTGATCCCGGGTCTCCAGGATCCCACGCTGGGCTGAAAGCTGCACTAAACCACTGAGCCACCCAGGCTGTCCAGCTTTTGATTTTAATATTAGTTTTAAACATTTAGAAGAGAAGAATAATTTTGAAAATACATAAAACATAATGTTTCATTATGTATAAACACGATTTTATTTATATGTTTATATATTTATGGACATTTGGGTTGTGGTTTGTTTCCAGTCTTAAGTATTTGTGAATAGATTTTATTTTATTTATTTATTTGAGGGAGAGAAGAGAAGCACAAGCAGGGGAAGGAACAGAATAAGAGGGAGATGCAGAATCCCCACTGAGTGCGGAACTCAATGCAGAGTTCGATCCCAGGACCCCAGGATCATGACCTGAGCTGAAGGCAGATGCTTAACTGACCAAGCCACCCAGGAGCCCAATTTTTTTTTTTTTTTAAGAAAGTGCGCAAGTGCACATGCAGAGCCCTATGTGGGCTCCATCTCACGACCCTGATATCGTGACCTGAGCCAAATTCGGGAGTCCAATGCTAGGGATGCCTGGGTGGCTCAGTGGTTGAGCGACTGCCGTTGGGTTCTGGGATCAAGTCCTGCATTGGGCTCCCCGCAGGAGCCTGCTTCTCCCTCTGCCTATGTCTCTGTCTCTCTCTGTGTGTCTCTCAAATTAAATGAAATCTTTAAAAAAAAAAATGTCGAATGCTCAACTAACTGAGCCACCCAGGTGTCCCAGTAAATAGATTTTTGTATGGACATAGGTTTGCATTCTTCTAGGGTAGGTAGATAGATACCCATTTTCCAAACTGGTTGGTACAATTTTGGGTTGCCACAGCTATGTATTAGGGTTCCAGTTCTGCATCCTCAGGAGTGCTTGATATTATCAAGCCATTTTTATTTTAGCCATTCTGCTAGGTATGTAGTAGTGTTTCATGATTTCAGTATTCATTTCCTTAATGATTTATGATGTTGTACATCCTTTTGTGCACTTGTCTTCTGTATATCCTGTCCACTGAAGTGTCCCAAGTTTTTTGCTTACTATTTTCTTACTGTTGAGTTTTGAGTGTTTATAATCTGGATACAAGTTCCTTGTCAGCTATGTGATTTGCTAATTTTTTCTCCAGTTTGTAGCTTGTCTTTTCATTCTCTTAACAGTGTCTTTAACAGAACAAAAGATATTAATTTCAATGAAGTCCAGTTCATCAGTCTTTTTTTTAATGGATTCTTATCATGTCTAAGAATTTTTTGCCTAACCCCAGAAGATTTTCTTCTGTTTCTTTTATTTTTAAGTTCCGTGTTTTGCATTTAGAGCTATGATCTATTTTGATGTAATTTTTAAAGTAAGGCATGAGGTTTAAGTTGGTGTTCATTTTTTGCTCATGGATATCTAATTGGGTTTTTTTTTTTAAGATTTATTTATTCATGAGAGACGCAGGGGGGTGGGGGTGGGGCAGAGACATAGACCCGAGGGAGAAGCAGGCTCCACACAGGGAGCCCCATGTGGGACTCGATCCCAGGCCTCTAGGACCATGCCCTGGGCCAAAGGCAGGCATTAAACCTCTGAGCCACCCAGGGATCCCCGAATATCTAATTGTTTGAATATCCTTTGTTGAAAAGATACCTTTCTTTATTGAATTGCCTTTGCGCTTGTATCAAAAATCATTTGGCCATATATATGGGTATATTTTGGACACTTAGTTCAGACCACTGGTAAGTCTTGAAATCAGGTAGTGTCCATTCTCCAACTTTGTTTGCTCTTTTTCAAAATAGTTTTAGCTATTCTCGTTCATTTGTCTTTACTACTGTGCATTTACTATTAAGGGTATAAAATAACATTTAATTCTCTTGTTTCCTAAGCAAAATCTATTTTTAATACCATGTGTATGTGTTGGGGTTATTTTGGTTATCACAGTGACTTTTTTATCTTGCTTGCATTTGGGGAGAGGGAGTCTTAATACATGGCCAAAATAATCTGCGTTCATTACATTCTTTATACATAGAAAAGTAATAATCTAGAAAACATATCAATGTTAGTATCAGCTTGTTGATGTGTATCAGAAAAATTGTTTTGATTTTGATTGGGCCCTCCTAGAATCTGTAGAATAGTTGGAAGAAAATTGTCATCTTCACATTATTGAGTTCCAGTCTATGAACATAATATATCTATTTAGCTCTTTAATTTATTCCGTCAGTATTTTGTGTTGTTTTCAGCACACAAGTCCTGCATGTGTTTTGTTAGATTTACACATAAACTATTATTTTTTAGATTCCTTGGGATTTTTCATTGTAAGCAGTCATGTTGTTTGCAAATATAATTTTTTTTTTATGAAATGTCTTTCTTTTTCTTATTGCACTGACTTTAATATGATGTTGAATAGTAGTAGTGGGAAGAAACATTCTTGTCTTTCCTGATTTTAGGGGGAGAGCATTCAGTCTTTGACTATTAAGGATGATGTTAACTGGTAGGCTTTTTTTGCAAATACCTTTTATCAGATTAAGGACATTCTCTTCTTAGTTTGCTGAGTTTTTGTCATGATTGTCGAATGTTATCAAATAATTCTTTTCTATCTATTCATTTCCAGGGTAAACACTTTTGGTCATGATGTATTATTCTTTCTGTATGGTCCTAGATTCAGTTCTCTATTATTTTATTGAAGGTTTCTATGTTCCTGAGAGATGTGTTTGTTGTGAGTTGTGTTTCTTGAAATTGTTAAGTCTTTATTAGAGAATAGCACTATTCTTTTAAAATGAATTGGACAAAAAAAAATAAAATGAATTGGACAGTGTTCTCTGGAATAATTTGCGTAGAATTGGTATTTTTTCCTAAATTGGTGTAAGAAAACCTGGAGTTTTATTTGTTGGAAGGGTTTTAACAACAAACTCAGTTTCTTTAGTAGATCTAAGAATATGCAGATTATTTTTTAAGTGGACTTTAGTTTTTGTGTCTTTCAAGGAATTTTCTGTATCATTTAAGTTATTGCTATTAACATTTTAAGTACCCCCCAAAAAAAGGTTTGTACTGAGGTAGCTGTTTGGTAGCTACACGTTCATCCTTTGGTGGGAAGAGTGTACCCATTCTACCAAAACTATTTTAAATCTGAGAAGCAGCATAATGTAGTGAATAAAAGTGTAGATTCAGGAATCAGACCAACTTACTTAACCTCTTCTGCTTCGTTACCTACCGCATCAAAAGATTACAAATAGGAACTACCTCATAGGGTTGTTGTGAAGAATAAATAACCTAATTCATGTAGTGTGCTTGGTGAACACTGATTTAAATAATTCTGTTAAAAGAAATCTTTTTCATCATTGTTGTCTCTCAGTGGTATCCAACTATAGTTACAGATTTTACTTCAAACTTTTTAGCGTTCCAGACTACAAAGACTTTTCCTTTTTGTTTTACATTGAAATGTTCTACCTTTTTAAGGCCTTGTTACATATGTGGCCTCTAACTAGAGATATATTTTTAGCCATAGATAACCTCTTTTTCATCTGTCTCCTCTGAAAATCATGTATACTTAGATGCATGCACCTATACGTAGAACACCTATACACATATATTACTATTTCTTTTGCTTTCCGTTATTTTCAGTTTCTACATCGAGCTAATAAAGTGGGAAATATGAAAATAATTGTTTTTGCCAAAGTCCCTTGGCAATATTGAATTCAGCAAATACATGAATGTATGTTAAAAAAAAATCACCTAGGAATCCTGTTTAAATAGTGACTCCTAGGTCTTGTTTCCAGAGTCTATCCAGTCAGGGTGCGGCCCATCATTATGAGTTTTTGACGAGATTGCTACTGTTGCTGCTGCTTGTTGGGGACTGCCCTTTGGGGGAAGTCAGCCACAACTTGGAAGTTGCTGGGGTAGTCAGAAATTGATTGGGAAACTGTTAGAAATATTCAAGACTTCTTTACTAAACTAGAATATTGGGCATGCCATTTAAGCTCTCTTATTTTTCATTAGTAATTGATCTCCTTATTAGACATGGCCTTTATTCTCTAAAATACGCCTGTCAGTATGCCTCTTGATATTTTCTCTCTCGTATCTTCGAACTAAAATTTCCTAAGATCAGTCAGTTCCTAGGAAAAACATTTTGAATTTAGACCTTTCTTCCCCCTTCTTTCGTAGATTTTTCACTAATTTGTGATTTTAAAGAAACATAAATATGGCAAATCTGTTTTCTTCATTTTACCTAAATGCATCTTATTTCTTCACACGTACAAATTTTTTTTTAAGATTTTATTTATTTATTCATAGACACAGAGAGAGAGGCAGAGGCACAGGCAGAGCGAGAAGCAGGCTCCGTGCAGGGAGCCCGATGTGGGACTCGATCCCGGGTCTCCAGGATCACACCCCAGGCTGCAGGCGGCGCCAAACCGCTGCGCCACCAGGGCTGCCTGGTACAAACTTTCTTGATTGATTTTTTTTTTTTTCCATTTTGGTTTAAAAGAATTTACTTCTAAGAAAATGTTTATATGTAGGTAGTTTTGCATCCTTAAATGTGTTAAATATATATTTTATCTGCATTCAGCCTATACATTATGATTCTGTTAAATGATTGAAGCAGTAATAAACGTAAGGTGTTTGAAGAAGCGTCACTAACTTTGAAAAAAGTTTAAAGCCATTTTCAGTAGAACTTTGAAGTAGTATGATTTTGAATGTATTTTCGGTTATTTTAGCAGAGGCCTATGCCATGGAACATTTATATCTTCATTTCTGTTTTAGGTGCGAATAGCAGCAAAATTCATTATTCATGCCCCTCCTGGAGAATTTAATGAGGTGTTTAATGGTGAGTGTTTAATTCATAGCATTAAGACTTGATATATCAAGCACTCCTCTTTTTAAAAGAATAAATTATATAACCAAAAGAACTAAGCTAAGGGGAGGGAGGAGTATGTAGGAAAAATCTGTACTTTTTGAATTACAGGGAAAATTTTTGTCAATATTGATCTCATAATGGCATGAATATTTATGAGACATATGAAATTTATGTTTAAGTTAACCTCCTTAAAAGAGTAATATTAAATTTTTTGAAAACAGATTTTTAACTATTTTTTGGAATTGTGAAATGCATTTTTTTTGTATTTCTTTTAAAGAAAAACTTAGTATGAACAGCCAAAAAAAGGGGGGGTAGGGCATTGTTTCAGCATGTTCAGAAGATAAGAGAACGTGTAAAAACTATTTAATTTATAGCTTAAAAATTAGTTCACAGTATGCCCTTCTTTAAACCTCAGTGGCAAACATTTTTATAGTTATCTACCCATACGTAGATCAGAAATGTAAACTGTTAACCAGTCTCCTGGTTGCTGTAAAAATTAACAATAGCTCCTCTTTAACAGTGAGAGTGCTGTGGTTGAACAATCGCCAGGAAAATGGCCTATAGTGATCTCTTTACGAAACTTTTCTTAAGCAGTTTTAAGAATAAGTTACCATAGGCACTGTAAATGTGTTATTTCTACTTATGTATATTTGGCCTTCACTGTCTAAAATTAAAACTAATTTACACAGAACTCTTCAGTTTTATTTTTAAAACATTCTATTCCAGAGTAAATTATTTAAACATATTTTAAAGAAGTTTAATCACTCATTTTCATTCATATAAGATATAATGGAATCTCACCTCAAAAAGATCAGGTTTGAAAGTCTAAAAATGAGGTAAAAATTTTGTGAAGTTAAAATTACCCTTGAAAATTCCTTAAATCATCAACAAACTACAATGCATAATTGAATGCAGTTACCTAGGATAATTTTTATGCATTTAAAAATTTAACCACTCAGCTACACTTAGAATGGGAAGTCTGCACTATATTCTGCCTTTTAAGATAACTGTAAAATCTCAAATAGTGAATTGTAAAATTGGGAGAGAATTCACAAATATTTCTGCTTCCTGAAGGGTTTAACTTCAGCCTCTATATTCCTTAGGTTCAAAAGTTGGCATGTAACTTGAACTGATAGCGGTGAAACTACACTAAAGCCAATGGCTCACAAACTCTTGTGCAATTCATAGAACCAAGAATGAATTGTAAATTCTAGATGTTTTTCACTGAATGTTCTTACCTTGAATTAAATGCCTTACAAATTTGTTCATTAGAAAGGCCCTAAAAGAATGTATGAGTCCTAGAAATTGCTTTTCTGAGTCTCTCTGGAAATTGATGTTGGTAAGTTCTATGTTGAGGTACAATAAATTTGGGTGTTTAGGATTCAGTAGGTTTGGGATGGAGAGTGAGCTATGGAACAGAAATGGGATATAGAATATTACATGTAAGTTTTAAATAGGGAGTATTTTATTTTTATTTATTTTTTAAGATTTTATTTATTTATTCATGAGAGACACAGAGAAAGAGAGGCAGAGACACAGGCAGAGACACAGGCAGAGGGAGAAGCAGGCTCCATGCCGGGAGCCCGACATGGGATCCCAGGACTGGGATCACGCCCTGAGCTGAAGGCAGATGCTGAGCCACCCAGATGTCCCTTCATTGCTGTTTTTGTTGATAACACCAGTATGATGATTCCAAGAGAAGCAACAGATTTTAGAATTACAAAGTCATAAAATCATGTTGATTTAGTGGTTCCCAAATACCGTTTCCTAGGTTGGCTATGTTAGAATCATTGAAACGTAAATATCTGGTCTTCATTCTCAGAAACTGATGCAGTAGACCTGGGCTAGAGCTGTGAAACATAAGGGTTTTATTTTTTGTTTATTTTTTGTTTAAGTCTCGTACTCACCACCTTATGGTTCTAACGTGCAACCTGGCTTAGAACCACAGCCTGATCCTTTCTTTAAGAACAGATTTTATTCAAATTCTTTTGTCTTTTGTCTGTGAAATCTTTCATTTTCTTCTTCTGTTATTTCCTTATGATGAAAAGCTTTCCAGAATAAAGCTAACTGGATCAAATAAATCATGGTTTTAAATTTTATTCCCATTTAATACTGGAAGAGATACACTACCACGCAGCACCACTATTCATGATTATGTTTTAAATATTGAACATGAAAAGATCATATCAAATCTCTCCAGTTTGCTTTGTGAGATAGGAAGAACTGTAATTTTAAATGTCTGTTTTTTAAGAATAATTTTTTAGGCAGTAGCTTCCATTGCTTAAAATCAGTTAATTTAGAAATCTAATTAGTATTATTTTAGTGGTTAGCAGAAGAGATTATTTTTTAAATTTGGGCCTGCTGCTGAGAAGAGGCATGTGAATAGTCAGTATTTCTTCTTTGGAGTAGCTTTATGATTTATGTAAAAATGATCCGTAGTCATTCTAAAATTTCCAAAGTGCAAAATTGAATCTAAAGATCACATAAAATTCTGCCCTCTAGTTCTCCAGTGTTTGAATTAAATACTTCTGCCATTCTCCGTTGGACACAGGTATATGACATTACATAAATATGATAATACTATGCATATTGAGTTTTCCCCTTGCTGTTTATTGTGTTATGGAGGTATTTCATGTTGATAAATAAATTTTTTCACATCTAGATTATTTTTAATGGCTGTTCAACTTTACACCTTTTATAAGGTCTATATAGTCTGTTTATATTTAAGTAATTTCTTAATGGGAGATACTTAGGTTTTTTTGTGTTATTTTCATTTAGTGAAATGCACTGTAGTATGTATTTTATGATCACAACTGTAAAATAGCCAAGTGTGTAGCAAAAGTAAAGAAAGAAAATATACCAAGATTAGAATTCTGTTTGGTGAAATTATGTGGATTTTTTCCCTGTTGTTTTACAAAGTGCTTAGATTTTCCAAGAAAAGTATTATTTTTAAAGTTATGTTTTAATGATGAGTAGGCAAATGTCTACATAATAATTGAGTCTAAAATTAGAACAGAATTAAGAATCAATAACCAAAGTGAGATTGCTAAATCAAATAAAGCAGTTATCCATATTGAACCAAATACATTCATCTGTTGTTTGAACATGAGCTGAGGACAGAAATGTCTACATCTGTGCTCTGTTCACAAGCTGTTTCTTGCCTAATCCCTTTTTGTATGAAGCAAATTCATTTGAAACTCATGATAATGTTGTCAGATTAGGAGGCAGACATCTTCTGCAACTCTCACCAATCTTTTTGATGGAGCTTAAACTCCACTGTAATTCCTTGGAAATACATTACAGTCTGCCTACATTGGCTATTAATTAAGAAGGTATAAAATAACATTTACAGGTTTCCTCTGCTATCCAAAAATAGAGTTCTGTGAAATCTTTCATTAGCTGAAATGGCATAAAGTGGAGAAACAATTGCCATTTGGTAAAAGTGAAAATCCTCCTTGGATTCCATTCAGTTAGCAAAAGCAGGTAAAAAGCCGAGTAGCATAAAGGGAACTTTCAAATAGCTGGGGAAATTTCTATTTCTGTTTAATTCCCTCTCCTGTTCCTAACCAGTATCTTTAATAATAATAATAATAATAATGATAATAATAATAATAATACCACCTTGGTGTGTTTTTGTGATTATTTTGGTCATCATAGTAAAATTTTGATCTTGCGGGGGATCCCTGGGTGGCACAGCGGTTTAGCGCCTGCCTTTGACCCAGGGCACAATCCTGGAGACCCGGGATCAAGTCCCACGTTGGGCTCCCGGTGCATGGAGCCTGCTTCTCCCTCTGCCTATGTCTCTGCCTCTCTCTCTCTCTCTCTCTCTCTCTCTCTCTCTCTCTGTGTGTGTGTGTGACTATCATAAATTAAAAAAAATTTAAAATTAAAATTAAAAAAAAATTTTTGATCTTGCTTACATGGTGGGTGTGGGGGAAGACGGGAATGTTAATACATGACCAAAGGAATCTGCATTCATTACATAAGAATTTCAAACATATAAAAATAATAATATAGAAAACCTAATACTTATTTTGCAGATGTTCGGTTACTGCTTAATAATGATAATCTTCTCAGGGAAGGAGCAGCTCAGTAAGTATTACATATTATATTAACTAAGTGACATAATGAGAAAAAATGTTTTAAAGGTGTTTTTTAAGCAATAATCCCTGAAATAGATATTCACACATCAACTTTAAATATATATGTATATCATATGTATGTACATAGAGGAAAATATTTTTGTTGAGGTTTAAATATATATGTGCATTATATGTGTGTAATCACTCAAAAGAGAAATACTTATGATCACAGAGGGACATAGGGACACAATTATAACCTGAAATTATCTATTGAATATTTGGCAGTGATTTATAAACTCAGTACAACATTTTGGCATTGCAGGGTTGGATAAAATTATCTGGAAACTTTGATTTTTGAAATTGTGATTGCTTTTTAATGCAGGTTTTACTTTTTGTTCTGTGTTTGACCCTAATAGATTTTTTAGGATTAGGAGTTCATTTTATTCATTCATCAATACCTAATATAGTACCTGACATATATTAAATAAATAAATATTTACTGGATTTGTGAGTGATCCAAAAAAATAGGCAGTCCTCATACGTCTTTGGACCAGTGACCACAATCAGGACTTGCCACAACTGTCGTAGGATTTCGGAGAAATAATTAATTCTCTATTCCCACCTCCAAAAGTAAGGTGGGGACTCCTATGTTAGGCTAACCAATTCCATTACTCATTGGAGATTTTTAGGTACCTTGCAGAGTGTTTAGTATCTATCTGGGCACCTTTTCTCACCCTAGTATTCTACCAAATATATGAATTCTTGAACCAGGGGAAATTTGTTCTTATTCTGTTTTTATAATGTTTAAAGGCTTTATCAAATCTGTCCTTTATAGTTAACCCTAATGAAGTTAGAGGTTCAACAGACCTCTAGGCATATCTCATTTTGCTTCTGATTTAAATTCCTATTATCTTTTAATAGCAACTTTTATTTATAGATCTCTTTGTTTTTTAATTCCAATATAATTAACATATAGTATTATATTAATTTCAGGTGTACAATATAGTGATTCAGCGATTTATACATTACTCAGTGCTCATCACAATAAGTGTATGCTTAATCCTCTTTACCTGTTTCACCCTATTTATTATTTTTATTGGGAGAAAATGTACATAATATAAAATTTAACCATTTTAAGAATACACATCTTTGGCATTAAGTCATTCACATTGTGTAACTATCACCACCATCCATCTCCAGAACTTTTTTTATTTTCCCAAACTAAAACTCCATATCCATTAAGCAATAATTTCTTATTCTCCCCTTCCCTCTGCCCCTGGCAACTACCATTCTGTTTTTTGTCTCTATGAATTTGACCTCACTAGGTGTTGCATAGAAGTGGAATCATACGTTATTTGTCATTTTGTGACTGGTTTATTCTACTAAGCATAGTGTCTTTTGTGTTCATTCATGTTGTGGCATGTGTCCGAATTTTTTTCCTTTTTAATACTGAGTATATATGTATCACATTTTGTTTATTCATCTGTCAGTGGACATTTGGGGTGCTTCCACTCCTGTTAATTATTAAAGTGCTGTATAGAAATCAATTTACTCTATATCTTTGACTTTAATGATAAGCTTCTAAGTGAATGGCTACTTATTCCTAAGTTCTTTAAACTTTATTTACATAATTTGTGTATTTGGGACACCTGGGTGGCTCCGGTTGAGCATCTACCTTTGGCTCAGGGCGTGATTCCAGGATCTGGGATCCAGTCCTATGTCAGGCTCCCTGCAAGGAGCCTGCTTCTCCTTCTGCCTATGCCTCTGCTTCTCTCTCTCTCTCTCTCTCTCTCTCTCTCTCTCTCTCTCTCTCTCTCTCATTCTGTGTCTCTCATGAATAAATTTTAAAAAATTATTTGTATATTCAAGTAAAATTAATTTTCCTTATAATAGCATATGGCATGTTGAGAAAATCTTACAGAAGTAAAGAAGATGTAGAGCATTTATAACTTCTAACACCAGTGCTTTCAGAGTACTTTTCCTCCGAGTTCTCTGTGGTAAATAAATGTATGGATTGCTTCATGTAGATGCAAGAATTAGTGCTTTTGGGGGAGGGGGTATTTTGTTTTTACTCAAGAAAATGAGAAACTTGACTTGTTGAAAGAATAAGAACTTTTCCTCAAAATTTAATGAAGGTCAAAGAAATATTCATAATTATTTAATGGTATGAAATAGCCATATAATTGACTCAAAAATGATGAAAGTATTGAAATTTTATTTGTCCAAAGAAGTACTTATCTGATGATGGTTTTTACATTTAAATTAAATTGGATTTGTTGTAAAAAAGAATCAGAATGTGAGCACATTTTTCTTTTATTATAAAACACTTTATGGGGACAATTGTCCATATTTCAGGAGGTATATACATTAAAATGCCTGAAACTCTGATATTCTAAGGAAATGAATCTGAAGAAATCAGTAGGTAATGATAAAACAAGATGTTTATTGTATGATACCAAAAAACCCCCACCAAAATTTTAAGTAGAAAGCTCAAACTGTCTTGCATGTAGTTATACTATCAGTAAGTGATTGCTAACCAGATGAACACTTAGAGAAAATACTAATTTTTTTGTTGACTTTAGTAGTATTCTTTCCAAATTTCTCAAAACTATTCATTTGAATTCATTTTGTAAACATCTGAGGGTATCTGTGATTGACTTTAGAACTATGTTATTCTGGTTCACAGTATCCTCTCCATGAAATAATTTTCAGGCAAAAATAGTATCATACTCACTGTTCACTAGACTTGGTTCTGAATTACTTTTAAAATATCTCCAAATCTGGTTTCACCCTCTAAAGAAGATTCATTGCCTATAATTGAGGCTGTCCAAAACCCCATAACGCTAGTTTGCAAAGTGTGTTGAAAACATTTAGAATGTGTCCTAGTGGCAGTTTCACCAGAGTAAGTGCATTGCCATAGTCTCATTTCTTAAGTTGTGATCTTGGATATTGAATTTCTTTTGTACAGGTACTTCTCTTTCTTACATATATGTAATTCTTTCTTTGTTTCTTTCTATTTTTCCCTGTGCTTTAGCTTTTTAAATCTTATTTTCCCCCTCTTCCTATCTTTCTATAAGGGGGAAAAAACATGGGTATTATTCTTAAGAGTGGTTTTATTTTATTATTTTTTTAAAGATTTTTTCATTATTTATTCATGAAAGACACAGAAAGAGAGGCAGAGACATAGGCGGAGATAGAAGCAGACTCCCTGCGGGGAGCATAATGCAGGACTCGATCCCAGTACCTGGGGATCACGACCAGAACCAAAAGGGAGATGCTCAACCACTGAGCCAGCCACCCAGGTGCCCCTTAAGAGTGGTTTTAATGGGATATAAAGGCACAAATTAGGTATGTTTCATAGTATGTAAGAGTAGACATACTAAAGAGTCGGTATTCTCAAGTCTTCTAAATACCCAGAAAGAGCCTTTTATTCAACTGACATGTGATTGCCAGACTTCACTGTGATGATAAAATAAGCCTCTTAGGGATTTTCTAGTGGGGAGTTAGATATGTTCGGTATCAGGCCAAATGAAATAAAGTATTATTATAATACAGACATATCAAAGGCCTTTGGAGCCCAAAGGGAGAAATTCTTAATTTCTATTTAGAAGTGGTTTTGAGCTGAATTTAAATGATGAACAGGGTTTGAATAGTAAATAGGGAAATAATATGGCTAAACTGAGGGAGACACCTGGTGAAAAGTATAGTTTGTGACTGTTGCATGACTAATAGTAATAAGTGTAAAAATCTAAATACAGGAGCAGGTATTTAGAAGTGGATGATTGGGCCATAGAACTGTAAAGGGCAGAGAAATCACTGTTTTCATTGTGTCTAGTGAGAGGGCTGAACACCTAGTTATTTGCATGGGTGGGGGGATGGGTGAGTAGATGATGAGTAGGTGGATAGAGTAAATTTCTGAATTGAAGGGACTTTAGAAGTCAGCTAATCCAAAGCCCTCTTTTTATAGGTAAGGTAAGTGGGCCACATGCTAGCTGATAATGGGGTTTGGACAAAACCTAGGTATTTTATATTCTCACTGCTAGGTTAGTGAGTATCTTTTCCATTGTACCATGTAACTATTACCTATTTAACGTGCTTTGAGCATTTAATATAACATTTTACCTATTTTCATACTCATTGTCACTTTTCAGATTTCCTGTTCTTCCCTCATTCCCAAGTGATAGATCGATGAGGTTTGATATTCTGGGTAGTAAAAGGCCTAGGACCAAATTACTATCTACATTTATTATTTACATATATCTTTGACTGGAAAATGAATCCTACTTTCTCAATGATCTAGAATACTATTTTTATTTTTAATCTCAAAGTACTTTTTACATTTGTTAGTCTGCTGTTAATTTATCAGTAATGGCTTTGCTTATCCGAACATCCCTTTGTAGAGGATACTCAGTAGCTAATAACCTGAAAATTCAGTGGATGTCTTGCTATCCAGAAAATCTTCCAAGTAGATTAGGTTGACAGATGTATTTCTAAATTTTAAAATACTCAATATCTTTTCTGTTAAGTGGAGAAAAAAATACCCAGGTTTTAGATTTAATAAAAATGTAATACGGTCCTTACATATTTTTCAGATAATTTTCTGTACTATGAGAATCTTTCCTATAAGTGTATTACATAATTAGGTAATGTAGTATTACCTTATAGTATATTACCATATATTATATGAAAGTAGAGAGAGAATTTATTGTTGAATCCATTTTGTCACCGTTTCTTAGTTCAGACTCTTCAGCAGTTCTAACATGGACATTTGCCTAATAACCACCTAACTGCTTTTTTTTTGGCTCTAGTTGCTCCACTGTCCACTTGTCATACACACTGCAGCCAAATTAATCTTCTTTAAAGGTACTTAGGTTCTTCTTTCTCAGAAAGCTTCAGTGATTCTGTTTTGCCTCCCAAATGAAATAATAATTCTATCAGTCAGGGCTTTTCACTTTAATTTAGTAAATACAATTGAGCACGTGCTATGTGTCGGGCATTGAGCTTGGTGCTTTCTATGATGTGGATCTAACCTGTCTTCCCATGTGTTTAGTTTATCCTGGTCCCTCTAATTGAAATATTCTTTTCTTCCCATCCCTTCAGTTTTTGCCTACTCATCATTTCAAGGCCATTTCTCAGTGTCAAATTTCTAATGAAGTCACCTCTAAAACTCTTCTTACATATATCTTTTACATATATCTTTACATATAGCCTTGCCTCAGTGGAATATAATTTTTAAAAATGTATATTTTCCTTGATGCTTTCTTTATTGCTCATTGTCTTACAATACTTTCTACTTTGTGTTATGATTGTGCTTATCTGTTATCTCTCCTACCCAACTGTAAGTCCTCTGATCATAGGATCTGTCGGATTGCTCTTCTATCTCTCATAATAACTACTCTGTTTCCTGGTGTGTTGTATGCTAAATACATACTCAAATAATTAGATATGTATCTTGTTAGATGGCTAACTTTTTACTTTCAAGGTATTGAGTGAAAAGACAAACTATATTTACTGTTTTAATTTTCTTTTGCTCAACATTGAAGGCTGCATATCATTCGTCAGTTTTAAAAATAGCCATATCTATATAATATTTATAGTTAATAAGAGATCTGTAATGGAGAGTCGTAATATTTAACTTGCCATGTGTAATGCAGGAGATTTATTGACAAGTGAATTGTTCGTACTATTTTAAGAGTGTTGAGTTTTGTAACTTTAAATAATTGGCCTTTCTCTTTTATAGTGCCTTTGCACAGTATAACTTGGACCAGTTTACTCCAGTAAAAATTGAAGGTTATGAAGATCAGGTATGTTTCATATAAACACGGGATCTGACTTTTCTGTGTTGCATTTATAATGGTTAATATATTCTGCAAGAACTATGAGGTGGTATGTTTAAAGATAAAGTGTTCGTTTTAATGATAGCCGCTTATGGACAAAATAATTGAAAATTTGGGGTTTTTTTGTAGAGACCAATAATACTGTTAGCAGAAAGTCCCTTTTAGAAGTATTCAAATGTAATTCTTTTAAGAGTTTAGAAAATAATTGCTTTAAATCTACTTTCTTGTTTTTTATAGGAAAAAATCAATCCTATATTAATCCAAAATCTAGAATATATATTAGTAAGATTTATATCATATTTTGGTTGCTCTGGAATTCTACAGTTCTTCATGTGAGTAACTTAGCATTTAGTAATTATTAAATCTTTTCTTTCCAAAGTGAAAGTTAGAATTGCTAAGTTAAGAAAAGCCACCAAAGATCACTAGTTTTGTTTTTTTCCTGGTTTAGAGATACTAATAATCAAACAGTGATTGTGCAAAGCACAACTTTCATAAAACAATATGAAGAAGGAACTGGTAGGTAGAACATGAAAGAATTTTAACAATTCTTAATGACCAGTTATGTCAAAGCTTGCATTTGGCATTATTCATTATATAATATGTAGTCTTGTATTTACAGGGGGAAAAGAGAGCCTAGACAGATGACTCGTAACTGCAGAGAAAACAAGCTTACATATATAGACATGCTTGTGTGTATGTATACACACACCTACACGTATAAAACTATATAGTGTTTCATTTTATTAATCTCATAAATTTACTTTTCTTGGGAGATTTTTTTTGTCTTTAATTGTAAACAAAGCTGTATTGTAAATCTTTGTACCTCTGAGCACCGTATTGACCATTATTTTCTTAAAATACATTCCTAAAAGAATATTTGCTGGGTTCAGGGAATGTATTTTTTTTAAATGTTGGATAACTCCCAAACTCATTTATGAACCTGGCATAATATTAGTACTTAAACCTAATAAAGATAAAACAAAAAGCAAACTGTAATCTCACTTATGACCATAGACTTAAAAACTTTAGATATTAACAGATGGAATTCTGGAATATATCAAAAGAATGACAAATCGAGACTAAATAGATTTTATTATAGGAATGCATGAGTAGTTCCATGTAAGGCAATATATTGATCTTATCTATTAACCAACAAAGAGAAAACCTTATCATGCATCAATAGTGTAATCAAGCAGCTAGTCCTCATTACAAAATTCCTAAGTAAACCTAGGGATAGAAGAAGGAAGACCTCTTAAGTAGACTATAAATCACAGTAAAGTCACAGTAAATATCATAGACTACAAACAAACACTAAAATAATTATAGTTAAAATAGAAAATTTGCCAAGATTGTCCTCTTATTATTATCTAACATAATGGAGGTATAGCAAATAAGACAAGAGAATGAGAACTTTTAAAGCTTTAGAAAAGAAAACTCTTCGTAACAGCATTTATATAAGAATGCTAACCAAAAGAAACTAGTAGACTTAAAACAGTTTTGTGAGATGGCTGAATTTAAGGTAAGTATTCAAAACTCATTAGATGTCCTCCATTGCACCAAATAAGTACTTTACGCTAGAAATGGTTGGAGGGGTAGGAATTCCATTTTAATTGGTTAAACTATGCATCAACCTAGGAATTACCTGAACAAGAAAGGCAAAGGATTGTGAAGAGAAGGATGATTGTCTTCTTAAAACATAAAACAGGATATGAACAATGGAAAGGCAATGCCACATTCCATTCTGAAAATAGGAAGTTAAATTATTAAAAAATTAAAATATGAATTTAATGCAATTTGATTAGAATCCTAATAGTTTTCTTAATTGGTCAAAACGTTCATGAAGTTTGGGCAGTCTGGGTGGCTCAGCAGTTTAGCACCACCTTCAGCCCAGGGTGAGATTGAGTCCCATGTCGGGCTCCTTGCATGGAGCCTGCTTCTTCCTCTGCCTGGGTCTCTGCCTCTCTCTTTCTCATGAATAAATAAATAAAATATATTTTTAAGAATGTTCATGAAGTTTATGCAAAAAAATTCCTGCTTGAAAAAAAAAAATGTAAGAACAAAAAGAATGGGTAAGAAAGAATTCCTTAACTAGATAGCTAGAAGATGCTTTACAACCAATTTAAAGTCAAATCAGGATGGTATTGTATAAAGTACACAAATAGATCTGTGCTGCAGCATATAGAACCAGAATTTAGTCCCAAATATATGTAAATTTTTATGTGTGACAAGATTATAATTTAGATACACAAATAATAAAAGATTGGCATAACTGGTTTCTGTTAAGATTAAATTGAACCTCTATCTCATACAATATACAGAAATAAATTTCAGGAGGATTAAAATTTGTAAAACGACTTAAAGTTTAAGAGGAAAGAGTCTACATGAGACAATATTAGGACAGGGAGACTATCTTAAATAAGCCTGGAAACCCAGAAACTATAAGAGAAAAGATGGACATTTTGCTACATAATAGTTAACCATAAAATGAAAAAGATACCTTAAACAAAATACTTATAAATTAATATGAAAACAAAAAATCTCAGATGAAAAATATTAAAGAATATTTGCTCACAGAAGAGCAAATGGCCCATACACAAAGCAATATTTAGATCAGTCTGTAGTGAGAGAAATATAACTAAAGTAATGAGATATTTTATACCCATCAGATTGAAAAAAAGAATCATATGCCTATTGATTGTAATATGAAGGGAAGCATATCTTATACACTGTTCATAAAAATGTGGATTGTCATAGCCATTTTTTGGAAATGTATTAAAAATTAAAAACATATAGATAGACCCTTTATCTACTGTCCCCACTACTAGGAATATATTTAAGAAAAATGGAAGCATCTAATGGAAATAAAAACATTAGCATGTTAAAATATATGTACAAAAGTACTTATTTTTTACATTTTTAAGGTACCCGTTCATCCCCCCCAAAAAGAAAACAGCCTGGAAATAAAAGAGAGGTCCATCAGTAGCAGAATGACAGAATAAATTAAGTTATATCCACATTATGAGACATTATACAGCCATTAGAAAGAATGATGAGAGGTTTACCAGCTGACTTTGAAGGATTTCTATAAGGTGTTGATATTAAAAAAAAAACAGATGCAGAAAAATATGTGTGCGTGTGCATGTTCATTCCATTCTTGTACAAATGACCCCCAAAACCCTGAATGTGTGTGTATGTATACACAGATAAGTTTTTATATATCTGTGTGGGATTATATGGCTGAAAAAAATTTAGAAGGATATATGCTGTGTGTACATGATTTTATCAGAGGGATGAGGAAGTCCTAACATAGGTAAGGAGTGAAAGATTGGGAGAGTTGCAAGGGAAGAACAAGAGGGAAATTTTATTTTATTTTATTTTATTTTATTTTATTTTATTTTATTTTATTATTTTATTTTATTATTTTATTTTATTTGTTTGTTTGTTTGTTTATTTATTTATTTATTTATTTATTTATTTATTTATTTATTATAGTCACAGAGAGAGAGAGGAGAGAGAGAGGAGAGAGGCAGAGACACAGGCAGAGGGAGAAGCAGGCTCCATGCACCGGAAGCCTGATGTGGGATTCGATCCCCGGTCTCCAGGATCGCGCCCTGGGCCAAAGGCAGGCGCCAAACCGCTGCGCCACCCAGGGATCCCAAGAGGGAAATTTTAAAATAAAGCGCAAAGTATCAAGTTTATGCATGTACAACTTAAATGTACATAAAGAAGTAAGTTACATGTTTAAAAATTTGGAAGTCAGTTGAAGACATCTGTCAGTGAATAGATTATAGAAACAAGCAGACACTTCACAGAAGATGGAAAGTATGGGCTTAGGAACAATATAGGACACACTGAAGAGTATTGTCTTTGGATTAAAGCTATTCTTGTAGCCATTCTCATTGAAAGTTACTACCAGTTCCTTAGTTTTGAGAACTGGAAACTGATAACAGAAATAGTAAACTGTTTATAGTTTTAAAACAAAACAACAAAAAAACTCCAGCAACATATTAGAAGATGCGTTCTTTTCATCAGGTAGCCAGAAGTTATAGTGGGAGAAAATTAGATCCACTGATCTAAGCTAAGTAACAATAGCCTCATTTGAATTATTATAGTTGTGCCATATAGTTAAGACAATTTCTTAGAGTAGAATTATTTTACAATGTTAAGGGCAAAATTTAAATGAATGTATATTAATATATGTCAGTACTTAAATGCTATTTTAAATACTTTTTTTTTTTTTTCAAAATTCATCACATCATTGAAGGTATTGATAACAGAACATGGCGACTTGGGAAATGGAAAGTTTTTGGATCCCAAAAACAGAATCTGTTTCAAATTTGATCACTTAAGAAAGGAAGCAACTGATCCAAGACCATATGAAGCAGAAAATGCAGTTGAATCATGGAGAACTTCAGTAGAAACTGCTCTGCGAGCCTATGTAAAAGAACATTATCCAAATGGGGTCTGCACTGTAAGTCATCAATATGCATATTTTTCTTTTGTCTTATGTAAATATGACTGTTTTTATGATTTCTTGAAAGCTGTAATTTACAGAACTGACATTTTATAACTCATCATTTTTTTCTTTTTTCTTGTTTTATTTCTAAGAATGTTTTTTTCAAAAAACTCTAAATAGTAAATATATTATGATTGCACAAAATGGGAAAATGGTTGTACCTTGAATTAAATCCAAGTAGGAATTGTCATATATTGATTACAGCATAATACTATAAGATTCTTTAATCTCATGTCCATAACTCATCTCAGTAAGCTTAGATCAAGGGACGCCTGGGTGGCTCAGCGGTTTAGCGCCTGCCTTCATCCCATGGCATGATCCTGGAGTCCCGGGATCGAGTCCCACATCGGGCTCCCTGCATGAAGCCTGCTTCTCCCTCTGCCTGTGTGTCTGTCTCTCTCTGTGTCTCGAATGAGTGAATGAATGAATGAATGAAGGAATGAATCTTAAAAAAAAAAAGCTTCCTTTCATTAAGTTACAAGATCTTAGAGCAAATTAAATTATTTGGAAGTGGAATCCTGTCCTTGCCAGTTTTATAATAACCAAGTCTCTTTTTTAATGTGATTCTTTCATAGGTTTAATCTATTTTTATATTTTCAGGATGAAATACGGTAGAAATTAGGAGTGCTTTTCTTTTCCTTTTTTTCATAAGATTGTACCCACACAGGCTTTTCAGCCCTACCTCCACCCTCCAGTTTGTTTGTGTTTCTGTGATCTTCTCCATAGCCACAGTGATCTTTTGAAATAACCGATCACATCATGAAAGTCCCATGCTGGAAATCATTCAAAGATTTTTCCATTACGTTTAGGATAGAGTCCAGGCTTCTGAACATGGCTTTCACAGCCTTCTGGATCTGACCTCTGTCTGCCTACCTCTAGAACCGCAGTTACCGTATATGCTGGTTTAATAGTTGCTGTCCCAACATAATATTACTGTTAGCATCTCAGTTTTCTGGTTAGGACAAAATTTCATAAAATCTCCTTAAGTATCTAGCTCTCAGTAATTATTTGAGGAAAAATTGCTGCATAAACTCAAGTACTTTACAAATTCCTTGAATTATAACCTTGTTGATTAGGATTATTTTGGAAGAATAACTCAAGAATAAATAGGTTGTATTAGAGAGTCCTTATTTGTTGGATTTGGAGGATTGAAAGATACAAATGATCTATCACTTATAAAGCAGTAAACAAGAGGTGAAATAACATCATCATACCAACACAGGCATTCTCTTAATGACCTTTCTCAGTTATAAGTAAATTAATTTTCTCACCTCTGTCCCAGCACTTTGTTAAATGACTAAAGAAATGACAGCCCCTAAAATTGTGAAGGAAACAAAGATGATAATCACAATGTGGGTCCAGTTTTTGTTTGTGTGGAAAGAACCAGATTAGTATCTATGTGTTTAAAATAAACTGTCTCATTTTTCTTTTATATGTTCCTACCAAAGTGCCATACAATTTTTTTTTTTACAGATGTTTAAAGTTGAATATTCTATGGTCCTGAATTCACCCTTTTTATTTTCTTTGCCATTAAAGGTATATGGTAAAAAAATAGATGGACAGCAAACCATTATTGCATGCATAGAGAGCCATCAGTTCCAAGCAAAAAACTTTTGGTAAGTTAAAATTGTGTGCTTCTGGAGAACTTTGACATTCATATCCTTTGTAGTCCTTGCTTTATTGGTTGGACCTATATACCTTTGTGTATAATTGACTAAATGCAACCTAAACATAAAACTTCAGCCTTTTGACATGAGAAAGATATTTGCTCCACAATCAGCATAAGTATTTAAAGGTAGCAGTAAGGGGCTCCTGGGTGGCTCAGTTGATCATCTGACTCTTGATTTTGGCTCAAGTCGTGATCTCAGGGTTGTGGGATTGAGCACCACATTGGGCTCTGTGTTCAGCGCAGAGTCTACTTGTCCCTCTCCCTCTGCTCCTCCTCTCTCTCAAATACATACATACCTACATACATAAAATCTTCCGAAAAATAAACAAAGGTAGTGGTAAATCCATTGACACTCAGCGAATGAGAGCGTGGGATTGCATCGAGTGTTTTTAGAGACTTGCAAGCAGCATCCTAAGGGAACATTTGTGCCTGCGAGCAGACCAGTTGGCAGGCCCATATGCTGATTCTGAGAAGAGATTGTTCTTGAATGAGACTTATATGGGAGAGGAGGACAGAGGTATTATGAAGGAAAGAACGATGATTTTTCTGGTAAGCTTTGGGGCTTCTGAAGTAGATGTTTTCATGTTGATTGCTTTGTGCTTGGTTGCCAATTTAACGAAGTAATGGCATGTTTTATACAGTGAGGCAGATTACAATCATAATTTCATTTTAATTTTTTAATCAAATTCGTTGATTATTCCTTATAAAAGTCCACAGTCAGTGGGTAGCCCGGGTGGCTCAGCGATTTAGCACCGCCTTCAGCCCAGGGCGTGATCCTGGAGACCTGGGATTGAGTCCCGCATGAGGCTCCCTGTGTGGAGCATGCTTCTCCCTCTGCCTATGTCTCTGCCTCTCTCTCTCTCTCTCTCTCTCTCTCTCTATCTATCTATCTATCTATCTATCTATCTATCTATCTCTCTGTGTCTCTTGGGAATAAATAAATAAAATCTTTAAAAAAAAAAAAAAGTCCAGTCACCCAAAGCACTGACTTTCCCTATTTTTTTTGGACCTTTGACAAGTTGTTGAGCCTTTCTATTTTTAGACAAGATGATTTCTGAGACATCTTTATAAAATTCTGAGGCTCTACAAGACTTTATAAATTCAGAATTCAATGAAATCTTTACCTTTATCTTCCTTTTTTGTTAATACATGCTAAGATCATCAGAATAAATATAGCCATAATATTGTACTTGTTAGCCAGGTTGGTTGGTTCTGCTCTTGAGGGTAAAGTAAAAGGTATCAGTAACCCCGGTGGACTAATTTGGTTCATGGCCCAAGATTGCTTCATTATTTAACCATCCTAGAAATAAATGCAAGGCTACAAGGTTAACCAAGAACATTTGGAGGAATGCAGATCCATTATCACTGAAGGAAAATCAATTCCGTATGTAAACATACACCTTAATAACAGGCTTCTGTTCCCTAAAAATTCTGGTGTACAGTTACTTTTATGGACTTATAAGTATAGTTTCTCCATTTTAGGCATAAAAACATATAGCAGTAACCTACCAATATTGTTAAGAAATAAATCTTAACCAAATCACTATTACCTTATGCAATTTTGCCAAGATATGCATCATAAAAATCAATCTTGTTGAGATTGAACTTCTAAAGGAAAACTCTTGTTACTAAATTTTACTTTAATATATATTGGAGATGCTATAGTGAATTTACTAATCAGTTTTCAGAACTAGAACTTATTTGAGCTTTAGCATATGTAAAATGAAGATGTTTGTTCTTGAGTTCTCAATAATTTGCTTCATATATCTGAATTTTTCTCCTGTATTACCACAATGAACATTATATCATGGAAGTTAAAAAAGTGACTTCCATTTTTTAGAAAAGATAAATTCTAAATGACAAAGTGCTACACATTACATATCACAATAATCTCAGTAAAATCTAAATATTTTGCTACTAAGAAATATACTTTAGTTAACCTAAAATATAGATAGAATAAAAATCAAAAGATATTAGTCAGGGATCCCTGGGTGGCGCAGCGGTTTGGCGCCTGCCTTTGGCCCAGGGCGCAATCCTGGAGACCCGGGATCGAATCCCACGTCGGACTCCCGGTGCATGGAGCCTGCTTCTCCCTCTGCCTATGTCTCTGCCTTGTCTCTGCCTCTCTCTCTCTCTGTATGACTATCATAAATAAATAATTTAAAAAAAAAAAAGATATTAGTCATAGACATTTAATAGATTTCACTAGGAGATCCCTGGGTGGCTCAGCGGTTTAGCTCCTGCCTCTGGCCCAGGGTGTGATCCTGGAGTCCCAGGATCGAGTCCCATTTCGGGCTCCCTGCATGGAGCCTCCTTCTCCCTCTGCCTGTGTCTCTGTCTCTGTCTCTCTCTCTCTCTCTCTCTCTCTCTGTCTCAAATGAATGAATGAATGAATGAAATCTTTTTAAAAAGATTTCACTAGGACATTCTCTTCCTGGTCTTTACTGTTTCTTGATGTTTAGCAGTATTGGAGGTTTAATAAATGTTTGTTGAATAAATACACATTTGTGATTACAGCATTAAAGGATAAAATTCATTATCTGGGAGACAAAAATGAGTAACAGCATACTGGTTGCTTGTTTTTAATGTCACAATTTCCTACCATGCATATATGTTAATTTGTATTCCAAAAGTCATTTTGAGGGCAACCCCGCAGCCGTTTAGCGCCGCCTTTGGCCCAGGGCATGATCCTGGAGACCAGGGATCGATTCCCACGTCAGGCTCCCTGCATGGAGCCTGCTTCTCCCTCTGCCTGTCTCTGCCTCTCTCTCTCTCTCTCTCTCTCTCTCTCTCTCTCTGTCTCATGAATAAATAAATAAAATCTTAAAAAAAAAAAAAGTCATTTTGAGAAGTGAGAGGAAGAAGTGCCTTTTATGTGGAAATGAATCCTAAAACTGTTAGAGAAAAAAAAAATCTGACACTTAAAACTCCTTGTAGAAAGCCTTTCTCTTTCCAGATATCAAAACCTTTAAAATGTATTACTAACCACTCTTTTTAAAATTATTTGGTACTTTATATCATTCAGTAGATGTCAGACTGCATTCACTGTATTTATCAAAGCCCTTGATAATCTAAATATTTGTTCAGTTTATTCTTTTTTTCAAATCAAAATATACTTGACCCACAATGTTACATTAGTTTCATGTGTACAATATAATGATTCCCTAAATTTGTAGTTATGCTGTGCTCTCCCACAAGTATAGCTGTTATCTGTTACCACATGACATTATTACAGTACTTTTAACTGTATTCCTTTTATCCCCTTATTGATTCCATAACTGGAAGCCTGTATCTCCCACTCCTTCTTCACCTATTCAGTTTATTCTTCTCAAAAAATTTTATTTATTTATTTGATAGAGAGCGAGCACACACACGCGGGGGGGTGGTGGGGAGAGGGAAAAGCAGGCTCCCGGAGGAACAGGGAGCCTGATACAGGACTCAATCCCAGAACTCTAGGATCATGACCTGAGCTGAAGACAAATGCTTAACCTATTGAGCCACCCAGGCACCTCCAGTTTATTCTTAATTAAAACATAAGTATGTCAGTTGTGAAGAAGTAGCTTAAAACTTTTCTCCAAAAGTAGCTTATATAATTTAGTTTTGAACTGTGTTTTAAGCCTTAGCTTTAGAATTCTTTAGTTGCATCCATTCTATGTCTTTTCTTACCATATATGGATGAAGATTAAATGTAGCTCATAACTGAACTTAACACTTTTGATTCTTTTAAATATTTCAGTGATTAAAAAATGAATATCCAGCATCCATTCTCCACAGTCTCATACTTGTAGCATTAAATTTAAATGTAGAACTTAAAATTTATTCAAATTATTTTCCCTACCTTATTTACAGCTGCTGTTTTTATTTTTAAGGAATGGTCGTTGGAGGTCAGAGTGGAAGTTTACAATCACTCCTTCAACCACTCAAGTGGTTGGCATCTTGAAAATTCAGGTATGAAATAAAGGAAATTTTGTTTACTGATCTCTAGATGATTCTAAACAGAGAAGCAACTAATTCTAATTCGTAAGTTTATTTTTCCTTAGTACACAATAACCATTTTTTTCCTAGATCTTTGTTTTGAAGTAATTGGAAAAACAAGTAGTGCTGATTTCATCTTTCAGATAACCTTGCAGTTCATTCCCTAGTCGTCAAAACTATGCAAGGATAGCTTACAGATTCTAAAAATACAGCTAAAATTAGATGCTACCATTTGGTCTACTCTTCAAACAATTTGTTCATCCAAGCATCCTCTGTGTTTGAGTTGTGCTATTCTGTCTCCTGATTTGGGGGGAATTGGGTGAGGTGTAATATTAATATATGTATGTGTTTAATATGTATTTATCCTATGTATATATATATATATATCTTTTAAGTTTGTGTTTGGTTTCCCTAACCAGTGTCTGTAAGTAATTAATTTCAAAATAAAATTTCAAGAAACCCACCATAATTTAATTCTCTGACTCATTTAATATAAACTCAAATGTTTATATAGAAGAACATTTGATAACTAAGACCAAGTATTTGAATATAAATATTACTAAACAAGTTTAAGTGAACCAAGACAGAAAAAAATTGGTCAGCCTTTTCCTTTTTTATTCAATATATTTGTTAACTTTCATGAAAGGAATTGTGCTAAAAGCCATAAAGGAATAAAGATGAATCAGATACTGCTACTCTATCATCTGACTCCACTGTATATTTCTAGTCTTTATCCTGTTGCTTTTGTCCTTGGTATGACTATTGGCTTGGTATGACTAGTCCAGGGGCTAGAAAATAGAGGCTAAAAGCATGGATTTGGAAAGCAGACTGCCTGAATTTGAATCCCAGCTCTGTTATTAGTTGTATGACAACAGGAAGTCATTTAATTTAAGCTGCTTTTGCTTGTTTGCTCATGAGTCTAAAAAAGAAAACAGCAATAGAAAGCTCAGATGATTGTTTGAAGATTAGTTGATATGGGCAAAATGGTTAAAACAGAGCCAGACATGAAGTGCTTGATCAGTGATGACCGTTAACTGTTGACATTATTTTTTCCTTCACTTAGGCCTCAGTAGCTTTCACCTGGATAATTTCTAAAATGGTGCCACTTTTTTTTTTTAATGGTGTCACTTTTAAGCCAAAGCTTGCTGAGAACTGGGATTATCTGTTTCACAGTTCTGTCTTCATCACTTAGCATGATGCCTAGCATGTAATTGTTCCTGAATTTGAGGAATTTTGTTGAAGTGCTAGACTCTTTGCCATCCCCCAATCTACTTTTGACATTGCCATCATCACAGATGATTTTTAAAGAATTTAAATCTGGATATGTTACTTTCTTACTTAAGACCACTCTCTTGGGCAGCCCCAGTGGCCCGTCGGTTTGGCGATGCCTTTGGCCTGGGGTGTGATCCTGGAGACCCAGGATTGAGTCCCGCGTTGGGCTCCCTGCATGGAGCCTGCTTCTCCTTCTGCCTGTGTCTCTGCCTCTCTCATTCTCTCTGTGTCTGTCGTGAATAAATAAATAAAATCTTAAAAAAAAAATAAAAATAAAAAAGACCACTCTCACTGGGGCAGCCCGGGTGGCTCAGTGGTTTAGCACCACCTTCAGCCCAGGGCCTGCCTGATCCTGGAGACCCGGGATCGAGTCCCACGTCAGGCTACCTGCATGGAGCCTGCCTCTCCCTCTGCCTGTGTCTCTGCCTCTCTCTCTCTCTCTCTCTCTCTCTCTCTCTCTCTCTCTCTCTCTCTCTGTCTCATGAATAAATAAAATCTTTAAAAAAAAAAAAAAAGACCACTCTTGCTTATCCATAATCCAGACATATTTGCATGACACACAAGGCCCACTGTTGACTTGTCTTTATCTATTTCTCCAGCCACTCTTCTCCCTCCCTAGTCTCACACACATTCCAGCCGTAAGAACCTCCAAGCCTAAGAAAAAAACAAAAAACAAAACAAAAAAACAAACAAAAAAAGAACCTCCAAGCCTTTCTGTAGTACACTGTTCTCTAAGCTCATTTGCCTTACCTTCCCTGTTCTAATTGTTGTCATACTCATATTGCTAAACCCACGTATTATTGCCTCTTTTCCGAAATCCTTTTTTAAATTTCAGAGAGTTTCAAGACTCTCCGTGTTGAGATTCTCTCTGTACTTTGTACATACTGCTCACTGTATTGTATTGAAGAAAACTAAGGTCAGGGACTCTTTTCTTAAAAGCTGTGCATTCTTAGGACTTTCTGTAATAGCAAGCATGTAATCATTCAGTTAATGTTTATTGAATAAATTCATGTCTGAATTTGAGGAATTAAATGGTTGGTGGAAATGCACAAAAGAGGAGCGATCTTTGGGAGGGAATATGGTGAGCTCAGCTTTGGAAATCTTGAGTTTATTTAGATTATCAGAATATCTGTTAGGTAAAAATGTCCAGCAGGTCAGTGGAGGGCTTGCCTGAATAATTACAGGAACTGCAAATTAGTCTCCTTACAATAGACTGAAGGCAGAGTTATGCTGGAGTTTGAAAAAGGTCAGGAGCTCATCAGAGAAGTCTAGGTTTCGAGCTAAACTTTGCACTGATGTGATTGTTGAAGCCATGAAGATCTTGATGATTCCTATAATGTGTTTTCTGTAATTTCTTTTTCTAATAGGTTCATTATTATGAAGATGGTAATGTTCAGTTAGTGAGTCATAAAGATATACAAGATTCCCTAACGGTGTCTGTAAGTAATTAATTTCAAAATAAAATTTCAACAGCCTAATGCTTCTATAAAACCAGAACAGTTTTGGAATTCACATTTTTAGTAATATTTCTGCTTCAGATTAAAGTGTTTTCAGATAGATTAAAGATGGTAAGTTACCTAGAAATCTGTACGTAACTTTTTTAAACAGCTTTATTGACATAATTCACATACCATTCAATTCACCCATTTAAAATATAAAATTACATGTTTTTTAGTATGCTAATAAGATTGTACAATCTAATTTTGAATGTTTTTGTCTTCCAGAAACCCTGTACCCATTAGCAGTCATTCCCTATCCCTCTCCCCCACCAGCCCTTTCCTAAAACCCTCCTCAGCCTTAGGCAACCATGAATTTACTTTTTAATTCTATAGATTTGCTTATTCTGGACATTTCATATTAATTGAATCCTATTTGGTGCAAAGAGGTATCTTACTGGGATTTTACTTTACATTTTCCTGATAGATAATGATGTTGAGCATCTTTTTATGTATTATTGGTTATTTGTATATCTTCTTCAGGAAAATGTATTCAGATCCTTCATCTGTTTCTTAATTGGTTATTTGTGTTTTATTGTTGTTATAATCGTTGCTTATATATATATTCTGGTTATAAGTCCTGTATCAGATATAGGATTTGCAAGTATTTCCTCCCATTCAATGTGTCATTTCACTTTCTTGATTGTATCATTTACAGAACAAGAGATTTTAGTTTGGACCTAGTCCAGTTTATTTTTTTTGTTGTTGTTACTTGTGCTTTTGGTATATTAATAGAAACCATTGCCTAAGGTCACAAAGATTTACTCCGTTGGTTTTTTTCTAAGAATTTTATAGTTTTAGCTCCTAAGTTTAGGTCTGTGGTTCTGTACTTAATTTTTAAACTCTGTTGTATTTTTTCCCTCTATTTGGATTACAATTTAATGAGGTTTTTTGAAGTTCAGCTTTAAAATTCAAGAAACTTTGAACTTGGTTTTATTTTCCCACGTAGTCCTCTCACACATTCTTTATACTACACATGCAGCTATTTCTCTGTGGGATATTTTTTGCCCCAGTGATATTATTAATAATGTAATATTAATAATGTCACATTTTACATTTTCCCATACACATTTGTGTTGTAAACCTAAAAGTGCCAAATATTATAAACATCAACTGCTAATATACAAATTAGCTAACCTACACATATAAAGAACAGTTAATTTTTAGTTTAAGAAAGCATTTGACTTAATGTTAAGAAACATGTGTGAATGTATAAGAAACATTTATAAGAATGCTATCTGAGAAGAGAAGAGAGCTAATATTTTAAAAAATGTTTCATTGACACTTAGATGATTTCTGCCTTTTTGCTAAATGGTACTCTACTTGCAAGATTTGCCAGTAAATAAAACTAATGTCTGGTTTTCCCTGAGACACTATGGTTAGTATTATTCTATATCATGTGCATACATGTAACATTATTTGTGTTACAGAGTACTTGGTACTCTCTTCTTTAGTTTGACAGTGAGCAAAGGTTCTTCCTAAAAGACAGTTGTCTACAAAATTATAGACTGTGGAGTTGTGAGAGGTGGTCATAGTAATTAAACTTGACTGATACACTTTTTGTGCTGCCTTTCTATTTTATTTTATTTTATTTAAATATTTATTTATTAATGAGAGAGAAAGAGAGAGAGAGAGGCAGAGACACAGGCAGAGGGAGAAACAGGCTCCATGCCGGGAGCCTGATGCGGGACTCAATCCCGGGACTCCAGGATCACGCCCTGGGCCGAAGGCAGGCTCTAAACCGCTGAGCCACCCAGGGATCCCTTTGTGCTGCTTTTTAGAAATGCATTTTTTACTTTATTTTACAGGGTTTTCTTTTCTTTCTTTTTTTTTAATGTTTTTGGACAGAAAAAAATGCATGTTATAGGAATGGAAATACATATGTGTAAATATATATTATATAAAGTAAGATATTAGAGAATTTTACATCAACACTTTTATTAAAAAGTCTAAATTTCTAACTTCTTTACTGTTAGGAAAAAAAGCAAAGAAACCCATATATTGGAATGTTAAAATTTTTCCAGAAAATAATTAAACACTATGGTAAATTCACCTTAAGCTTTAAAATAAGCTTTTCCTAATGTTTTTTTAAATGTATCATTATGGTGGTAAATACCATTTAGTACATATTTCATAATACTTAGATACAGTAGTAGTTAATTAGAAATTTATGACTAACTTCTTATAACTGTAAAGATTATCAAATTCCTATTAAGTGTTATAATGGAGTTTCTCTTCAATATGTATTATTAAGACTTTGCTGTCCTTAAACAGTGAAACCAGGCTCATTCTGTAGACTTTTAAAAATACTTTTGCCTAGTTTCTCTTGGACTTAAAATAACTGATCTTATTGCGTTTTCTCTTTATCATACTTTCCATTTGTGTTATTTATTATAGTAAATCATTAACCATACGTATATTGACATGCCTATTTAAAATAATAGTGGTGTACACAAAAATAAACTCAAAATGTATTAAAGACCTAAATGTGAAACCTGAAACCATAAAAATCCTAGAAGAGAGAAGAACACAGGCAATAATTTTTTTGACCACGAGATTAGGAACATTTTTCAAAGTGTGTCTCCTAAGACAAGGGAAACAAAAAGCAAAAATAAACTGTTAGGATTACATCAAATAAAAAGTTTTTGTACAGTGAAGGAAACCATCAACAGAACAAAAAAGGTAACCTATTGAATGAAAGGACATATTTGCAAATGATGTATTTGATAAGGGGTTAATATCCAAAATATATAAAGAACTTAGACAACTTGGCACCTAGGTGGCTCAGTGGTTGAGCATCTGCCTTTGGCTCAGGTCGTGATCTCAGGGTCCTGGGATTGAGTCTTGCATCAAACTCTCTGCAGGGGAGACTGCTTCTCTGCCTGTGTCTTTCCCTCTCTCTCTCTGGGTCTCTCATAAAAAAAAAAAAAAAAAAAAAGACCCAAAAAACAAGTTTTTAAAAATGGGTGGAGGACCTGAATAGACATTTTTTTAAAGACACACAGATGGTCAACAGACACACGAAGAGATGCTCAACATCACTCAACATGAGGGAAATGTAAATCAATACTACAATGACATATCACCTTTCACCTGTCAGAATGGCTAAAATCAAAAAGACAAGAAATATTTAGTGTTGGCAAGGATGTGGAAGAAAAGGAACCCTCATGAGTTGGTGGGAATGCAAGCTGGTGGCCACTGTGGAAAACAGTATGGAAGTTCCTCAAAAAATTAAAAATAGAAATACCATATGATTTAGTGATTCCACTGCTGGGTATTTACCCAAAGATGATGAAAACATGAATTGGAAAAGATCTAGGAATGTTTATTGCAACATTATTTCAGTAGACAAGATATGAAACCAATCTAAGTATCCATCAGTAGACGAATGGATAAGGAAGATATGGGAGACATAAACACAGTTGTATATCTATAATTCTATATACATACACACAATGGAATATTACACAGCCATAAAAAGGATGAGATTGTGCTATTTGTATTTCACTTATGCTAAGTGAAATAAGGGGGGGAAACAAACAAATAAAAAGCAGATATAGGGATCCCTGAGTGGCACAGCGGTTTGGCGCCTGCCTTTGGCCCAGGGCGCGATCCTGGAATTTTACATCAACACTTTTATTAAAAAGTCTAAATTCCTAACTTCTTTACTGTTAGGGAAAAAAGCAAAGAAACCCATATATTGGAATGTTAAAAGTTTTCCAGAAAATAATTAAGGCGCGATCCTGGAGACCCGGGATCGAATCCCACATCGGGCTCCCGGTGCATGGAGCCTGCTTCTCCCTCTGCCTGTGTCTCTGCCTCTCTCTCTCTCTCTCTCTCTGTGACTATCATAAATAAATAAATTTTTAAAAAAATTTTAAAAAAAAAGCAGATATAATTACAGAGAACAAACTGATGATTGACAGGAAGCAGGAGTGGGAGAAAGGCAAAATGGTGAGGAGTCATGGAAAAATAGGCTTCTAGTTATGGAATGAATAAGTCACGGGAATAAAAGGCACAATAAGAAATATAGTCAATGATACTATAATAGCATTGTATGGTGACAGATGGTAGCTACACTTGTGAGCATAACATAGTGTGCAAACTTGTTAAATCACTATGTTTGTTGTACAGCTGAAACTACAGTAACACTGTCATTTATACTCAAAAAAATGGAAAACTTATATAGTGGTGTTGTTTTAAAGTAAATAGTTACTTTTTGTTTTGTTTTTCATTCAGAATGAGGTGCAGACAGCAAAAGAATTTATAAAGATTGTAGAAGCCGCAGAAAATGAATACCAGGTATGTTTTTCAAAAGTACATGATTTATATTTGCTTATAAATAATGGCACTAAAATAAATAAATAAATAAATAAATAAATAAATAAATAAATAAATAAAGGCGCTGAAGTTTTAATACTGAAGTTTATAACTGAAGTTATAATAATGGCACTGAATTTCAGTCATGAGCCTGAATTTTTTTCATTTATTTCACTATAATAAAACATAATCTTTTTGGGGTTTTTTCGTTTACTTGTTTTTAATTCAGTGGCAAACTTATGAAAATGTGGCCAAAATTCAGTTTTAGCCAACAGTAATATCTGAGTATTAGTCATAATATGCCAAGATTTTAAATGGTTATTTTGTTTTTGGAAATTTTAATTTATGAAGTATTTCCCAAAGTATTTAGATTATGTGTAATCTTGTCAGATCTTATTTCACTTTATACTCTTATTTTTTACATTTTTTTTTATCAGCTTTTAAACCGTACTCTTGAACTTACACATTTAATTTGTGGATTCGCCACATTTCTGCTTCTTGGAAACAATAATGTATAAAATTGTTTTGAGTGAAATAATAAAATAGATCCAAAATGAGAACACACAAATATTAAATCCAATTTACAATTTCATTTCATTAAATTATCCAAAACAATTATAGGCTTTTTTCTTTTAGGAGCTTCTGGCTGGCTAAGTCAGTACAGCACATGATTCTTGAACTCATGACCATGAAATCCAAACCTGAGCCAAGAACAGGAGTCGGACACTTAACTGACTGAGCCACCCAGGCGCCCCTCTCTTAGCTGCTTGCTTTTTTTTTTTTTTTAAGATTTTTTTAACTTATTCATGAGAGACAGAGGCAGAGGGAGAAGGAGGCTCCCCGCGGGGAGCCCAATGTGGGACTTGATCCCAGGACTCCGGGATCAAGCCCTGAATGGATGGCAGATACTCCACCTCTGAGCTACTCAGGCATCCCTTTTAGCTGCTTTTTAAACAGTTTTAAAAACCACATTGGGGTTTTTTACTTTTTTTTTTTTTTTTTACTTTTTAAAAACAGTGAAATAAGCTGGTTAAATAAAGGTTTTTCTAAAACATCTATGTGTTGTATAAATTGATCTGTTCCTTTTATTTCGTAAACTTTTAACTATTTTTCATAGACTGCCATCAGTGAGAATTATCAGACAATGTCGGACACTACTTTCAAAGCCTTACGTCGACAGTTGCCAGTTACACGCACGAAGATTGATTGGAACAAGATCCTTAGCTACAAGATTGGCAAAGAGATGCAGAATGCATAAGATGAACATTGCATGACCGGATCATTTTAATGTTTTTGCGTTTTAAAAAAAAAAATCATTGCAAAAAGTATTCAGAACTGTCAAGCTACCCAGTCAGATGGGCTGTTGCCATTTAAAATCACTGTAATTAATTAGTTTGGTTAGAGCACAAAGCTTAGCTAATCAACCGTTATTTTTCATTTCTTTTGTTCAAAGAGGAAAATTAGTTTAAATGTCTTTTACTTTCTGCTATACCTTTCTTTCTTATAATTAAGAGATGATTCCTCTAGTTTAATGTTAAAAGTTTTTGAAGTGTTTCAAAAATATTTTACTTATCGTAACCCTAAAGTTGTTGTCTTTTGGTTTACGAAGTGGGCAACTTTTGATATTTGCCCAGTTCTTTTTAATGGGGTCAATAATGGACATTCTAGTTTAAGGTGGTTGATGGATTTAGCCATATATGCTGCTAAAGAAATTGTCTACCTTTTCCCCTCACCTCTTCCATTTATGTAAGATTGAGATTAGAGGGAAAGCATTTTCTATATCAATTGTGTTTGAACTTTGAAGAAGGTTATTTAGCTAGCTTAGTGTTTAACTAAACTTTTTTAAAATAAGGCCAAGGTCTAATGCTGTTTTGAGATTCTGAAATTAAATGGAAATACTTATTTCAGAAATGCATTTAATGCTTTTTTTCTTGTGACAGTTACGCAAATTAGCTTGAACTCCATATGTCCCTGAGTTATTTTTATCATAAAGCCACAAATGTATTATAACAAGGCAAATTGTAATATATATAATCCTGAACTCATGACCATGTCTCAGTTTATTTCTTTTCTTGGATTGAAAAGTACTGAAATTCAATGTGACATTAAAATGGAAATTTTCCTATTTATTTGAGTAGAATATCACTTATCAGTGAGTCATATACTATTTTAAAATACTTTCTTTGGATATTGTGATTCTTAACTGGTTGTAAATTAGAGAAGCTGGGAGTACATATGGTGTGCATTACAGTCTAAATTTTTCCATCTTATGCATCATAAGCATGTTTGTAATATTTTAAAATATACATTTACTGATGCTACAGGAATTTCAAACCTGTGGTGAATGTTAGTATTTACTATAGAGAGTGGGGTGGATTTATGGTTTCATTCAATCGAGTATTGCTTACTATACTCCAGTGGAATCTCTTCCTCACATACTCTTGCAGATGTCTGGGCCTGGAAGTGTTTTTTTAAAAACACCACTTTTATTATGTACAATAAAATATTTCATTAGCTTGAATTGTATAGAATTTAAAACTTTTCTCAAAGCATATCATTTAATTTCTTTTTAAAAATCAGGCTTGGGCTTTGAAAACACTGAGAACTTAATATGAAATTTGAGTTTGGTTAAATTGTTTTCTCTTAGTTTTGCCATATTGGGATTTCTGAAGAAAATGAATTAGCAATGTTAATTTTCTCTTCCCTTTTTAAATAGGCATTTTCCAAAGTCATGATTCTGAACTGAACACTAGGTAAATCTTTTAATTGGCTTGTTTAGTCATATCATTTGGACTATCATGGGTTTTTATCCCCTACAGATCAGTTACTTTGGATGTTTTATGGCCCTAGAATGTGATCTTGAAAATACATGCATTTGTCTTTAAGGTGATGATTTAAGGGTGAAGTACAGAGGCAAGGGTAAAATTAGGGGAACAGTTAGGAGGCTACTGCAGTAATCTAGTTGAGAGCAAATGCTGACCTGAGGTGGTAGCTATAGTCTATAGAGGTGGTGAGTTCTGGATATGTGTTAAAGGTAAAATAAAAAAGGTTTGTTGAAAGTTTGGTTGCAGAATATGAGATGAAGAATGCCAGAGACATTTTGGGGTTGAGAAATTAGGGGAAATTCAGGGTCAGCAGAAGGGTTGGTCAGGAGCTCAGTTTTCGATTTCAAGGGGAAATACCATGTAGCAGTTAGATACTGGAAACAGGAGGTAGAGTGGTCCTCTGGGCTGAAAAAACAGTGGAATGAATGGACCTGGGTCACAGGGTTTGGTAGCCAGGCAAAATGAAGTCCAACTCAAGGTTAGTGATGATGTAACGTGACACCAAGGGAGTATGCTCTGTTAAGCATGTTAAAGCTGCACGGTGCAGGCACAGAGTAGAGGAGTTGAACTAATAACCAAGGTTGTGGTTTTGCCAAGAGAGGCTGACTCACCATGGGAACGGGCGAGGTTGCAACGATAGCCTCTGGAACAGAAGCTTAGGTAAGGGAGAGAAATGAGGCCAGGAGAGGAGCAGAGAAAGTGTGGCACAATCAGTAGATTACATAGGTACGGTTAGAGTTAGCGTACTAGAAGGCAATGAGTGGTGGTTAGGGTGATGTGTTAAAAATTGAGATTTTGAGGAGTTATACTTATTCCTAATGATAATAGGATCAAGGGGTGACTGGCTGAGGTAGGAGAGGAGTTCAAGTAGCTGTGAAGCCTGGGGTCGCTATGGGGTACTGAAATCAAGAATTACGGTAGAAGTATTCTGACATGAGTGCTGTTTTTCAAGACTACATCTCGACATTTATAATACATTTGTATGAGTTAAGTAAATAATATGGTAAAGATACTCATGAGGTTTTTCTAGATTTGGGATTTTGGAAACTAAAATGAGAACAGAAGCGTATATAAAAAGGTATTCTGGAAGTCCTGGTTCATTAAAAATGTTCTTGAAAAGTGAAATTCTTAGGAAACTAAAGATGACTAGAGGTAATTCCATTGCTTTTGGGTGGCCTTTCCTGTGGTTAAAATAATTTTTTTACTTAATTACACCAAAAGCTTTGGAATGATGCAAGATCCTTTGAAAAGATCTTCATGCTGATAATCATTTTGTGCCTTTGCCAGGTAGTGGGTATAAAATATAAAGGCATATTTTGCCTGCAGGTAACACAGGTGTTTTGTAATGCATGTGTGTTGTGAAACATCCCAAGAAGAATGTGCATTTCTTTTCACTTCCCTAGGTTAGATATTTAAAAGCAACATCGCAATGTACTTGCTATTCCTAAGTTGTAGTATTTTTGTCCTTGAAACTGAAAAAATTTTAAAGGCATGACTTTGTATAGACATCTTCACGTTTGATACTCTGAGTATTATGCAAAAGCTTTATTGTAGGATTGACCAGTGGTGCCAGCTATTGGAGAATATTCAAAATATTCAATTAAAATTAAAATAACCAGTGAAACTTTTAAGGTCTAATTGGTATTAGAAATTAACATCAAATCATTTAAGATTAATCACACTGTTTCCAGGAGCCATTCTAGGCATTGTAGAGTCAGGAAAATATAAAGTTATTTCTTTAAAGAATCTATAAAGTAGTCATGGATATGTTGTAGTGTTCTCTAAATTTTTAACATCACAAAAGATATAGAAAGTGATGATACCTATAAGGCATTTTGGGAGAAATGGCTGCTTGCCAACTGCTCTAAGGCTCAAGGGGCCTCCTATCTCGGTACGCCTTGAGCCTATCTACGTAGTAGGTGTGCTAGGGGTAACACAAATAAGTGGATTTACAAGATAAACTTCAGGCCTAACTTACCTACAGTAGCTTTTAAAGAAATCACCACCTAAGGAAGTTTTCCTGGAAAAGATGAATGCAAACTCTACTTCAGCACACTTAACATTTTTTGTTAAGTATGTGTGTAACAGTAGGCAGGAAATCCTCTCATATCTTGAAACATCAAAATATAGCTAATCGGTTTCTTGAATAGCTCCCTGATAGTCGTGGGTCAGATATAGCATTATACATTTGAAAACTAAATAACATGGTTTTGTTTTTACACATACCACAATATAAAGTGAAGTCAACAGAAAAGGAAAAATAAAAAATGTTCCTATGAACTAGAGTAGAGCTAATAAGATACTAGAACATTTTATCCCTAATTTTAGTATAATCTAAGAAAATTGTGGTAGTTAATGTCAGTTTTTTTTTTTTTTTTTTTTAATCCATGAGAGACAGAGAGAGGCAGAGACATGGGCAGAGGAAGAAGCAGGCTCCCTTGCAGGGGAGCCCGGTGCGGGACTCAATCCAGGACCCCGGGATCATGACCTGAGCCAAAGGCAGACACCAACCACTAAGCCACCCAGGTGCCCCTTTTGCAGTTTTTTGTTTTGTTTTGTTTTTAAGATTAGATTTATTCATGAGAGAGAGAAACACAGGCAGAGGGAGAAGCAGGTTCCTTATGGGGAGCTCGGTGCGGGACTTGATCCCAGGACCCTGGGGTCATGCCCTGGGCTGAAGGCAGACATTCAACCTCTGAGCCACCAAGGTACATCAATGTCAGTTTTAATATAGTGTTAAAAACTATCAGTTACTTTTGTGTAGTATGACAGTAACAGAATAAAGATTTTTTTCATGCAGACTGGCTAGAGAACACATGTATCACAGATGTTAAATCAGCCGCTCATTCTCCTAGCAAATCACTACATGAAGTTAAAGCTCTCTGATTAATAGAAGACCGGTAAGGAAACAAAGTTGGTTTGTATGTCTTAGGATGTGATTTCTTGAGGAAATTTGTGGAATGCCCAGCTTTTAAACCAAATAAATATTGAAGGAGTAAAAGGATACCCCCCAGAAATCATGACTAAACAGTAAAAATCACGGTCTTTCTCTTTGGCTTCAAGTTTTGTGCTGCTAACTTAGCAGAATCTGAACACTGATGCAGAACTCTTGTGACTTCTGCTTGAAAATGAGGACTTGCCTCTTGTATCCCAAAGGAATGCTAAAGAGAAATACTGAGGAGTCACAGATCTCTTAGGCATAAGCTAGACACTTAGGAGAGACTTCTTTCAGAATGCCCAGGAAGGTACAGAGCAGCATTCCAGGGTGCTGAAAATATCTCAAGTATAGAAAAAGCTAATTTGGGATCCCTGGGTGGCGCAGCGGTTTGGCGCCTGCCTTTGGCCCGGGGCGCGATCCTGGAGACCCGGGGTTGAATCCCACGTCAGGCTCCCTGCATGGAGCCTGCTTCTCCCTCTGCCTGTGTCTCTGCCTCTCTGTCTCTCTCTGTGTGACTATCATGAATAAATAAATAAAATCTTAAAAAAAAAAAGAAAAAGCTAATTTAAAAAAAATTTTTTTAAGGGAAATCCTCAGGTACACTCATTTCCCCCTTGTTTTGGGACTTTACACAGGAAAGAGGAAAGAAAAAAAAAGGAAATGGCAGAGACTTGTATTGGGAAAACCTAAAGTCAGTCTAAATATCCAGCAACAGAGATTAATTCAGACACTGTGGTTTGCTGACACTAGGGTAGCATACAGCTTTTACAAACTCAGGAACTGGGTTCCATGTAGCAACATAGTATAAATGTTGAAAGAAAAAGGCAAGTTGCAGAAAGGTAAGTACAGTTTTAAGTGTAAATTTAAAAACTTGTGAGACTTTTGTACAGTATGTATAAAACAATGGAGTGAAAAAAGGGTAGTGTGTGAGGAGGAAGATAGGGGACTGGGATTGGGGAAAATATAGAAGGATTCGGTTGTATCTTAAGAATTTGTTTTGTAAACTAGGTGATAGGCAAGTATATCTGATATTTTGTAACTTAAATATACAACTTAAGCCAACACATTTGGAACTCTGAGAGAAAACATGTACAAAATTGACTCAGGTGAAGGTAGTAAAAATGGCAAAGGTCATAACTATAGAATAAATTGAATAGGAACTTTACTAGTACCTCTTTTATAAGTCATTAGACCCATATTGTTTTATCGTGAATTTTATCAAACTCTCCATATTCAGATAATTTCTGTGTTCTAGACATCATTCTGGATGTCAGAAAGAAATACTTTTAATGAACCTGACATACATAACTTTCAGAAAAACACCAAAGAAACTATCGATGAAATCTCCCTATAAAGTTCAAGAAAC